AAAAAAGAAAAAAGAAAGTAGTAGATCCTGTTATTAGGTACCACGGAGTCTGTTCCAACCCATATCAACCCCATGTACAACAGAAGGAAATACCGATTGTCCTTATGCTCGAGCCATTGTTGCATATCAGTCCATCTTGTTGAAGGTCTTCCTTTTTGTCCCTGCCTCACTAATGTACCAAGCATAATATTTTCTCCAGAGACTGTTCCCTTGAAAACACGTCCAAAGAATGTGAGATGGAAATCTCGCCATCTTTGCCTCTGAGGAGCATTCTGGCTGTGCTTTTTCAAGACAGATTTGTTTGTTCTGGGGGTAATCCATGGTACTTTCAGTATTCTTCTCCAGCACCATAATCCAAGTGCATAAATTCTTCAGTCTTCCTTACTCAGTGTCCACTTTCACATGCATATGAGTTGACTGAAAATATATAATAAAAAATCTATATGTAAGAATAGCAGTCTAAGAAATGGAACTTATCTGAATGTTCATTATGTGGAATGATTAAATAGTGACACATCTTTACAATGAAATATAGCCATTAAACCTTTCCCAAAAAAACAGTTAATGGTGTAGTTATCATAATATGAGATTAAGTAGAAAAAGCAGGTATGACATGATTCCAAATTTAAAGATTATGTACTTGCATACACACCCATCTATATTTTAAATCTCTATATGAATTAAAAGGCTAGATAGAAAATACTGAAATATGAATAGCCATGTACTGAACTAATTAAGTACTTAGGGAGAAAAGGCTGGACCTTCATGAAGCGCATGTGTTCTTTTTTGTTAAACCTTAGAAGCTCCCTGCATGGCACCTTCTCCCAGGTGATAAGGACATTCTTCCACTTATACGGCACAACTTTTATCCTTCTGCATTCAACTTTATGTCTATTATTCCTATGGACTAACTAAATCTTTATTCACCTTTTAGGCCTTGACTGAAATGTCACTTTCTCAGGGAAGCCTTCATTAACCACTCCTACTAATCTACCCAGCAAGAATGAAGTCAGTCCAAGTCTTCGTGACAGTACATGTGGCAGAATAGAACTAGTTTTCCATGTTTGTTATTTCATAAGTATATTGCCAGACCGTTCTCCCAATGTACTACTATGTAGAACAAACCTCCACTCATGTGGTTAGCAGCAGAGCCATTTGTGCCCCTGAGGAACTTCTAGGCTCTAACAGGAACAACTAGGAAGGAAAGGACCAGCACGAGGAAGGCAATTCTCCTAACCCCCCTGAGATGGTACAGGCAGCTTAGCATTGTTGCTTTACCCCTAACCATCTCTAGGTAATCCTAGTGGTGTGGTGAGTTATACATTGGGCTGCTACCTACAAGGTCAGTGGTTCAAACAATCATTCCTTGGGAGAATGATGATGCTGTCTGCTCCTATAAAAATGTATAGCCTCTGAAATCCAAGGGGCAGTTTTACTTTGCCCTACAGGGTCCCTGTGACTCATAGGTAATACAATCTGTTCTCATTCCCAACAGAGACAATATGCATTTCTGCTTTATGCAGAAAGGCTTTCCTCTGGAGGGAGGAAGGAAGTTATTTTGGGGAAGCATTGTGTTGCTCTGGCTGGAAAGCAAAAGACACTTAGAGGGCCTCAAGGCTCACAGGACAGCTTAGGGAGCAAGGTTGGGCCTGGCATGGGGTTTGCAGCCAACAGGATGCTGTGTGCAGACCTCAAGCTTCTTACTGAGTGGAAGTGAGGGAGCAACAGAGCAGGAAACAAGAAAAAGCAATCTGGAAATGAACTTCACTCCAGAGTGCAATTTCAAGAAGGGATTAGGCTGGTCATGTCAAGATTTTATATTTTAAATGTTAAAAAACACCCTTTCTGACCTTTCAGGGTTAAAGAAAAGTACTCGACTCTTGATCTGTCTCATGTCTGCCCCCAGGTTCATATCAGCCAACTGTATTCCACGGACAAGCTAATCATTGAGAACAAAGAGGAATCCCGGACCTAAGGAGCCTGGACCAGCCCCCTGGCAGCCATGGACCACCTTCAGCATCCATTCTATACTTGGGGTGGGACCTCGCCCAACCATGCGTGGCCTTGCGCACCAGCTAAAAGTATCCTCTCCCTCTGCCTGCCCCATAAGAACTGATGATGGACCGGCCTTCCCGTTCCTTTGTAGCCTTTGTGAAAAGGATATGACGATCTCCCTGGTTCCCATGCTAGAATGTAGAGCTGGAGCTCATGCCAATTATTGTGCTGTGTGTTCCTGTGCCTCCTCCCACTTTACCCCATTTGGTAGAGCATTTCCACTTGTATAGAGCATTTCTTTACTGTGCTTCTCGGTGCCTGACAATAAACACAATTGTCTCCCTATGCATTTACCATTGGTGGTTCAGTGGATATAATTCTCACCTTCCATGCAGAACAGACCGGTTAGATTCCTAGTGTACCTCATGCAAAGCCACCTCTTATCTGTTAGTGGAGCCTTAAGTATGACTAAGATGCTGGAAAAGTTTCAGTGGAACTTCCCGAGTCAGAAAGACTGGAGAAAAACACCACACATTGGAAGTAAGAGTGGCGGGGCAAGGGAGGTTACATTCCCATGTTGAGTCCTCTCTTTGTGAAAAACAAGTCCAACCATCAAGCAAGATAAAGGAGACAGCAGGGATTGAGGCCAAGACTGAAGTAGTAGCAGGTGTACTCTGGAGACCTGACTGCAGCAGTTTGTCCTTATGCCCCACAATCACAAAGGAGGCGGGACCCACCTAGAGGTAGAATTCTTTATAATCCGCTCTTCAGTGGGTTATCTGTGACCCAGCAGCAGCAGTCCCGACAGGGAGCAGGTTGAAGAGACAGAATCCAAAGTCCCGTGAACTTGAATCTGTATCCTAACACAATCCCCAGATGACCCCTGTGCACATTAAAGTCGACTGCCCACAGCATTAAATCCCCAGTTTGCCTACTTGTCAAGATCGCCTGAAACATTTGAGAGTGAGTTGTTCAAAAGAGGAATTTCTCAGCACCTCCCTTGCTCCCTGTAGACTATGAGTCAGTAAGTGAGGAATGATGTATACGTGATTTTAGTGCATACCAGGTGTTTTTAACATTTAGTAAGTTTGGGGACCTGTTGCTCTTTCAGTGTGCCATAGATAATAAAGATCCTTGGGAACATACTAGTTCAAAGCATATAGAAAGCTTACTAAATAACTTATCTCCTGGGAGTTTATGAAACACCAGACACCATCAGAGTACGCTCAATTCCTGTTGAATAGAACTGAGTGACCCCTTAGTTTATGTTGTCAGGATTGGAACAGGCTAATTTCAATGTTTACATTGCGGTCAACTTCCAGTGGACTTATACTCCCTGTCTTTGTCATGGTCACGTGAGTCAAGCTGGGCAAGTGGGCCCACACTCATTTCCATCTTTGTGTTCGAAGTTTGTGTTGGTTCTAGGTCATTGCAAAGTGCCTGGGGTCTTAAAAGCTTGTAAGCAGCCACAGCAATCAGTCTCTATTCACTTGGAACAACAAGAAGAAGGAGAGTCAGGAATAGGAAGATATGGAATATGTGGCTATTTGCCTCTCTGAATAGCTGCCTTCTTTGTAGTAAGACCAGAATTGAATGGTGCCCAACTGCCATTCCTGAACATTTTGACCAAAGGTTTAATTGAAGAATCCTAATCAAAAGGGGAGAAGTGCAAAACAGATTTTCAAATTCACATAGGTTCCAAACTTTCTAGAGCCACTGAAATGGACCTTATTGCCTTTAAAGAACATTTAAACTTTAAACCAAAAAATTTCCCCTGCAATCCCTTCAAAACCGAACAGTTTGACTAGTAAAAGATGTCTGCCTGGAGCATTATGCCCTCGTAAGATCTATATAGTGGATCCCTGGTGATGTAGTGGTTACACCTTGGGCTGCCCACTGCAAGGTCAGCATTTTGAAATCACCAAACTCTCCACTGAAGAAAGATGAGTTTTTCCACTCCCCTAAAGAGTTACAGTCTTGAAAACCCACAGGGGTTAGGGTCACTATGAGTCAGAATCCTCTTGGCACTGAGTCTGTTTTTTGAGACGATCTGTCTATGTGGGATCAGGGTGACAACAGCAAACCAGAAGATTAGATCAGAACCTTAGGGGACATTGAGTTTATGACAATGAAAGAGGAACCACTCAGAAAAGGTAAGAATGGTTGCACAACTTGAAGAATACAATCACTTTCACTAAGTTCTACACGTAGAAACTTGAATTGAAAAAAAAAAACTTGAATTGGTATATGTTTTGCTGTGTATATCTTCAACAATAAATAAAATTGAGAAGGGCAAAAATTTTATTGTTTTGGTCCAACTCATCTAGCTAGAGTGTAAGTTTTGTTATGACAGTGTATACAAAATAGATTAAATATGTAGTCATTCCACTTGGCAATATGGCTTTTAATATCACAATAAAATCTTATGAACCTGCAAAGTGAATTCAGTTTTTAGGGAGCCCAGGGTCTATTACAGCTCTAAACATTCCTCTCGGAGCCATGGTAGCCAAGATGTTGGAATGATCATTTCAGAGCTATGGGATCAGAGTTAAAGTGGGATTGTGACCTCCCATCAGCTGTCACGAGGCAATCACTCAAGTCCACATCCAGCCTCATTGTACACAGCTCTGCTCTGCCTTCTCTGTGTCAAGAGAGTATCTGGTCTTTGAGAAGCAACTCATCACCAAAGGTGCTCAGGCATATCAACCCTGATTTATATACCCAATTCATTCACGCAACTGTTACTTGAAGACCTAAATCCAGGTGTGAACCTTTCCCCTAAAAGTATCACTTTGCTACCAGACTACAGCTTCGTGGGTAACATGTGCTTGGATTTTAGTCAAAGAGGTGGCACACCAGGCAAGCTTACTTTCTCTGCAGGCTTTTAACAGCAGGTTACCTTTAGAAGAATTGGGCCACAGAGATGTGTTTGAATATGCCCAGTTGTGATAGCACAGACCTAATTTTCAAAGTACAGATAAAATTCAAACCACACATTTGGAATCTGGGAAGATGTAAGAACTCTGAATCGTTTTTTGTTTGTGTGTTTTTAAATCATAATTAGGAATTTTAATCTACCCCAAATTCCAGCTGCAATATGGCAGAGCCTCTCATTGAGTGTCCCTAAAAAAAAAGACCCAATGGGAATAATCCCTTTTGTTTCTACAGTAAAGGATTTTACTTGCAGCAATACCTCAATGGAGGGGTTTTAGAGTGTTAAGACAGATGGGAACCTTTACAGTCCATCACTTCCAGCCTCACAGAACTCTCTGATCTGTGTGACCATTTTGAATATAAGATTCTGAGAAATTGAGATATACTTTCCAGTATCACCAGTTAGCAAGTGGGACACCCCCCAAAATGAATATCTCTTAAGAGAACCATTACCTAAACATGGCTATTTCTTAGACCTAGAGAGAAATCATTTCATTGGTATGACTATAAGGTTAATCGTTTTATTTAGTTTTAACTTTTTTAATGCTTTATTTAATTCACTGAATGCTTTAATTCATTTAATTCTTTAGTTTTTTTTTTGTAGAGTTGTAGAATTCAAGGATTATCATAGATAGAAATTGTTTGCTTTATGTATACTTTGCCTTGCTACTAAGTAGCCATTTCTTCAACTCTCTTCATCCATAACCTCATTCAAAATTGCAAGCCCCTCAGTAGAAACCACAGTACAACACACAAAAATTTGGTAGAAATAGAAAAGGCTGGGGGAGAAGTCTACAGAGATGACAAAATGCCAAAGCTGACAGACACAGAGTTCACATAGCACAGGCCCCAAACCTATAGGTATGAAAGCCAATGTCCTGAGCATCTCCAAATTTTCAAATCCACGTGCTGTTTTATACTACATCCCTTTCATATATTAATTCATCTGTTTTGAAGAGTCAGTTAGTGTCGGGTCCCAGTAAACAAGACACTACCCCTAACCTCACAGAGTTTGCAGTCTAGCATGAAAATTAAATGAGAAAAGTACAGGTTGGATGAGTATGACAAAGGATGAGGAACAAGTACTGTAGGCACTAATGGCCAGGTAAGGGAAGGACTTCCTGAGAAAGGAAACTTTTATGTTTAAGATTGTGGAATTTAGCCCAGAAGTACAAAGCTGATTCACTATCTTAGAACTAGTTAATATGATACACAATGTCACTACAGTACAAATAAAAATCATGTGATCATCTCAACAACTGCAAAGAAAATAGACAAAATCCAGTAATATTTCATGATAAAATTACATGAGCTAGAAATAGAAGGGAACATCTTGAAATTAATAATGACTTTTTAAAAACTCATACCTAACATCATGTCTCCCACCACCTGTCTGTTAGTTTGTCTTACTGTGATAGTGTGCATGTCACTGTGGTGCTGGAAGCTGATACTAATATGTCCAAAGAGCTTCCAGCCTAAGAACAGATCACAAAGAAGGAATAGGCTGTCAACTTCTAAGATGTTAGTCACTGAAAACTTTATGAATCAGAGTTGAACATTGTCAGATACTGAAAACCTCATACTGGAA